TTACATTTTATTCGTCTCTCTTTCTCCTTTTATTTCTTTTGTGTTTTCTTCCTTTTTCTTTTTCATATCCATTTTGTCTCTGTCTCTCTTTTTAATTAATCTTTGTGCGCAAAATTGAGATCTCATAGTCTGTATTAAGGAGAAAAAAATTGCTATGAATTATTCTTTCTTAGCTGCATAACGCGCACTTCCTTATGAAATCCAATTAAGTTCGATAATTATACAATGGGTGCAAAAATAATGAATTAAATTGTATTTATACAAAATTGCCTAACAGAATACGACACTTTACCGTTCGCTAATAGCCAACAAGCGCGAATTAAATATGTGCCAATGTGTCTGTCTCTGTCTCTGTGTCTGTATATGTGCGATGTGTATATTTAAAGCCATATGGGAGATAAAATAATTCTAGAATATTTTGAAACGCAAAAGAGGAATGCTTATGATAAAGTATTATTTCACTTAGTCTAGCATTAAAATGAGCTTATGAAAAATCACTTGAATAAACATTCAATAACAAATATTAGACTTTTGTAGTAGAAAATAATAAAAGGCGCTTGAATAACGAAGTTGATCGTTGCAAGGTAATAATTTTAATGTGTAGCAAAAATTTAATCTTTAATGGTGTAATACTTTGTTCTCCTTATTTGCTTTTAAAATGAAACTGCTACAGGTGTAGTAAGTAGAATACATTACGTACTTACGTATTCTATCACACTGAGGAATGTAAAATTTTTCTTAAATGTCGGAGATTATTGATAATTTCGATAGGGAATAAATAAAGGCATATATTTACAATTAAGTGCGTTAAATATAGCACGTAAAATATTAAATTCACGCTATTATTTCTCGATGAACTGGTGATGATCAGAAATGATTTTAGTAATTATTCTAACATCCCAATAACTCTATATCTGTTTAAATAGATATTTTATACAAATAAAACGACATACGCATAAGCATAATTATACTGTTGAAAAGACGATATGTATCAACGAAATTACAGTACTTTAACGAGGCATATTAAAATCATAAAAATCATTTTATTCTTTAGTTTTATAGGGAATGTGGCGAGAGAGAGAGAGGGGGGGGGTGTAGAAGATGAAGCAGGAAATTACGGTCATTTTAAGAAAAACTATGTAAGATATATAAATATATTTAAGGTTGAATATGATTATGTGAAAATATTCTGTTAATATTACACGAATTGTCCTTGTGTAAGAAATAATTTTCATTAGTCTAAATAACACTTATTATTACTCAGACGCGTTATTAGTTATACTCTGTGCACGTAAGAATTGCACACTTGATTAGTTTAAAATAACAAATGCTTCTCCTGTATGATCATTATACATGTAAAAGTGAATTTCTTCGAACGAATTATTATAATTTTACAAATTATACAACAAATTATTTGCAAAAATATAAGCCCTCTATGATCATAATAATGAAATTTTAGACAGTTTTTTTTTGTCAGAATAGTGTCGTTTATAGAAATGAATGAAGCAACGAATTTTAATGGATTTTTTATTCTTCTTTTG